GCAGTGAAATTTACAAGTGTGAATTTTAACAATGAAAGCGAGAGCAATAACGAATGTGTGTACTAACACTAAACTTGCAACTGAAAAGTGAACAAAGAAGAGAAAGAAAGAAGGAAGGACAAAGTGATAACAAATAACAGCAGTACATATCTCTCTCTCTCTTTCTCTCTCTCTCTCTCTCTCTCTCTCTTTCTCTCTCTCTCTCTCTCTCTCTCTCTCTCTCTCTGTCTCTCTCTCTCTCTCTTTCTCTCTCTCTCTCTCTCTCTCTCTCTCTCTCTCCATCATTGTCTGGCTCTCAGGTTCTCACTCTTTACACACAGTCTTTCTTCTCTCCCTTTCCCCCATGGTGCGTGATGTGCGCCTTGATCCCGAGACCATTGGTCGGGGGAGCGCACTTCACCTCACCGGCACAGCTCAATAGCACCTACACGCCCATTGTAGTCCCCTATGTTCTCTTGATGTTGTTGTTGTTTTTCTCTTCCATTCTATATGTAGGCATGTGCACTTTCATAAAAATAAAAATAAAAATTACACCTAGAACATTAACGGCCAAGCTTGGCAGCACCAAACATGACACTTTACTTGAACAATTTCAACCCAATTATACTATCTTTCTGTACACACAAGTTAGGCTTATACAGACGCTGACAGATGGCTTCCAAAACCTTTAACTGTAGTCCATAACCATGACGACCACGGCACAATACAGTATATGAAGAGTCGGAATACGAATTGCAACAATCAGGACTAGCCAACAGATGATTGTACACTGAAGACTTGCTACCACGAAACCTACGCACAACGCTAACATTCTCACCGGCACTCTCACGATCACTACAATCGTCGCTCTCCGACTCATTGCTCCCTTCACCGTCCGTCCCATCATCTGCTTCCTCTGCGCTCTCTCTGTTATCCCGCCTGACATGGTCCATTGAACGGGACTCGGCCGTCACCCTGCTCTCACGTCCCTCCTTACGCCCTTGTCCGTTGAGTGCGTAGTTTCTGTTGTAGTTGGCTGTTGATCGTCTTGGTTTTTCAATAATGGGCTTGGATGGTGGATTAGTTGTGGTTGCTGTAGATTGCATTGTTGGTGATGGTGTGGGAGCTGCTAATACGCAAGGTGAGTCTTTTTTGGTTGGCAATTGTAGTGTCAATGCCCCTGCCGGTGTTGCTTGCGGTCTGTCACTGGCAAGCTCCACCGCCGCAAGAGCCGACGGCGGAGGATCAGGAGGAGGCAGTGGGACCGGGACCGCAAGCGGCACCACCCCAGCCAAAGCCGCCGGGGGCACTGACGAAGGAACCACCGACGGCAGGAGCAAAGGTGGCGACACAAACCGGCCCGATGAGCCACCACGCCCACCCTCCCCCACCACCGCCACCAGCGACGGCGGAGCAAGCACAGTTTGTGAGCCAGGATCCGCAAGTTGTGTAGGTAACGGTTGTTTTCTAGGTCGCCCTCGCTTCGGTCTTTGTTGTTGTGCGCAAGGTGGAAGTATATGACGTGGTGTGTGTTGTTTGATGCGTGCGTTCAGGTGCTGAACAGTCCTACCAACATACCGACTTTGTCACTTTGTCCTTCCTTCTTTCTTTCTCTTCTTTGTTCACTTTTCAGTTGCAAGTTTAGTGTTAGTACACACATTCGTTATTGCTCTCGCTTTCATTGTTAAAATTCACACTTGTAAATTTCACTGCTGTTGTTCTTAGTGTTATTTCTCTAACTTAGATTTTCTATAATAGTTCAATTTTGTTTTCAGTGTCCTTTAGTGCAACGAAGATTCCTGATGAGTGTTGTACGAAAACTTGTTTGAATCCCTTTCTTTCTCTACACAATTTCTTCACATTTTTCATCGTTTTATTGCACATTGTCTCCACAGTTTTACAATACATGAATACAGTGTACACAAATGTCGATCCAGCTTGTATTACTGATTGCGGTTATCAAATTATTATTATTATTATTATTATTACTCTCAATTCATGGATGACATGGTGTCAACCAATATTATGAATGAGGGCTACCAGCCATGGAATAAAAGAACAAGAAGGCAAAATGCACACGCAAAATATGGCAAGTTAAATGAAAAAGAAATAAAAGTAAATCAATCCAAAACCAAAATCAATTATAAAAATCAATCCAAAACCCAAATGAATTGTACAGGTAGCATATATGATTTACTTTGGAGCTTGAAGTAATACACAAAGAGAATTGAAATCAATGATTAGTAAATGAAGATCGACGTATGTGTATATTTATCAAGCTTAAAAACGCATTGAGGGTGTTGCTGGACTTTAATTGCTGAGGAAGAGAATCCCATAATTGGTATGCTAGGAATACAGGCGATTTGCTCATAGAATTGTTTCTTGCAATCGGGAAACGAAGCGAGTTCCGGCTTGTTGAGGATGTCATTGAGCCAGTTTAAGGAATGCTGCACATGCTGAGGGGCAGTGATAAGTTGATTTTGTGAATGTATAGCCAGGAGGATCGGTCAATGTAATGTTTCAGAGGAAATGTACAGCAATTTTCATAGAGAACGGTTATGTTGGTCTCGGGCGGCAAACGAAGTATTGCCCGACCTCCCTAGTAGCCCGCAGACAGAGGCGCAGAGCCACTGTCAATTGTATTCTGTTTGCCCGTAAAAGAGGCCTCGTACTATGCGCAGAGCTTTGGATACGCTGGTCCGTGATTTTGTCCTGCTGTCCTTTCGTTCTATGGTTCACCTCTTTCCACGTGTTCTGTGTCGGCTCCGTACTACATGTACATATGCCAGTGACCCTGCTTCACAGCATTGTGTGTCGGCTGTGTGGACTGTACAACTACAAGTATCACTGGTGCATGGGACTGCATGCAGCACACATTTGGCTTTATCACATATCAGGTGACCGTTTCCTAGGAATGGGCCAATCACTGCCCTTCCTTGGCGGGTGATATAGGCCGATATCACCCCTGCTGCTCCATATCACCCCTGCTGCTGCATATCACACCCGGCTGCCTACCTAGTACAGTACCCATTGGTACTCACATACTCGAATGTGTACTGTAGCTGAAACTGCATATTTAGGATTTCACTGCCATCTCCAGCCCCTCCCCCCCCCCCCCCCCCAGGCCCTCCTTCGGCCAGCTTGGCTTGGGATTGTGGGAGGGGGTCTATGTGGAGGGGCTAGTGACAACAATGAATTCCTTACATATGCAATTCCATCTATAGTACGCATCCGAGTTGACCTACCATGAAGAATGACAAGTTCGAGGGTAAGCACAAACAGAAACTTACCATTCTTCTTCTAAAGCTTGTCCTTATCGTGTCCCCGTGAGAAAAAAGGCTAGCTTTGATTTGGGCGTTTGTGAAGGTGAATTGGAAGATCAAGAGCTTTTAGAGGCTGCTGCAAATTATTTCAATTTGTTATCACCCAGCGAACTAGCCGAAGTGTCTGATTTTTCTTTATCATCAACCGCACCTGCAACTTTGTCGAATGGCGAAGTACTGGAGAAGACCACCTCGGAAAAACGTGTAACATCCGAGCCAAGCATTGTAGAAGAAACGTCTCAACGATTTGTGCAAGTGTCGGAGGATGAGATCGACAGAATCCGAGAAAGCCGTGTTTCAACCAACACGAAGCGAGCCACCAACGTGTCTCGGATGTTTGGTGTACAGTCTATAAGAAAAAATGTGATCTGAAAACCATCTCAGCTACCAACCTTTCTTTCTTCGGTAAGCCACCAAAGGGAGAGCATATCCCTCCGGAAAATCGAGGAGACACAACACCACCGACTCCTCGATCTCATCTGGCGCGGCCTGTACGGCCAATACAGTACAGCGCTTTCAAAGCAGCTGACGCCCGCAACCACGGCCCCAACTCGACATCAAGCCAGCGCCGGGCTCATTCTCCCGCTGGCCAGGACGAATACAGGCACTCGCCGACCGTTCTTCCGTGGACCTGCGCTGTGGAACACTCTGCCAGCCAGTGTACGTTCCTGCAAAGCCGTGGCCGATTTCGCAGCAGCCGTGTACCCGTACACTCTCAGGCCATAAACGTTTTTAAAAGAAGAGAAACAGTGACATGCACCCCCCCCCCACACACACACACGGACAGTATGTATAGGCATATAACGAACGGTCTTTTCCTGTTAGCTCTGTTTGTCCAATACATGAGATAAAACGTCTTTCTTGTTGTTTTTCCTTCTCCATGTAGCTGCTTCCAGCATGGTAAACGACAGTACCATGGCCTTTTCAGGGTTTTTTCATTGTACCTATTTGTAGTACCTCCCGGGATCAGTATTTTCCACTTGAAATAACATCCACCCCAATGCCTCATTCTTAGCATTCTTTTATTCGCTTCCATGAAATTGGGCTTATTGCCCGTTTGGTATTGCGAATTCAAATAAAAAACAACAACAACAACAACTTTCACCAATCTCCGACGAAGACAAAGACAAAATCTACAGACATCTAGAAGACTGGAAAAACAACCCCGGGCATCTCACCTATGTAGTGGAACCCACGTTCGACCAGCCAGCATTAACGCAACACTTCGGATTAGGGAATGAATTATTTACAAGAGAATTGGAAGAGACATAGAACCAGACTGAAGCACACTGAACTAAACTATCGACTCAACTACTGAAGTACAGAAAGACGAGCATGCAATCTGAGAAAGGAGTGCAGCTACGCACGTGGCTAGACACATGCACAGCATGAGAGGTGTACACATAAAGCAGAGGCGCGCGCATATGGGTGAGCGTGTACACAGCATGCATAGCAACATACAGTGTGACACAAGAGTCATAAGGCACCTAATATAGCAGTTCATAACACCACTCCCCTAGGTGCCATTGATCATCCACTGTATCTAGCTGGCTGTCGTCGATTACCAGGGCCTCGGAGATCGTAGCGCTGAGTCGGCATGTCAGCCGCAAACTCGATGCTCCACACATTATCACAGGCAGCTGGCTTTGGGCGATCTTCGGCAGCATCATGGTTACCATCATCTAGTGTTCCATCTACCTACTGGGCGTGTCCAGGCTTGACGATATCAACGTTCACGACCTTCTCTCTGCCGTCAGCATGCTGGATCACCAGGGTCGATGGCGAGACTATCTTCAGCACCGTCCAGCCACTCTCATATGGCGTCATGAGCTTCTGACTCCGCTCTGGGCGACGTAGCATCACCGGATCATCGACACGGTATGGTGACTCTGTTGGACCGCCTGACACAGAGTCATTCGAGGACAGTAGCGACTCAACAAGGTCTCGAATCCGAGCAGCGCGCCCAGCGAGTCGGTCCACCCATTCACTGGCGCTGTATGCTGTCGGGTCGTGATCAATTACTAGGTCGCGCCCTTCCCAGCCTGTGATGGCCAGCCTTGGCGATATTCCGGTTGTAGCATGGCGACGTCTATTGTAGTAGAACAGTACCAACTCCAGCTCAGACGTCCAGTCACTGGTTTCCTCGAGCGCCTTACGCAGGAGACCGATGATTGTACGGTTGAGCCGTTCAACCCCTCCTTGTGATTGAGGATGTCGAACTGCACCCGTTTTCACCACCACACCAAACTGTTCCAGGAGGGCTGCTACGACCGCGTTCCGGAACTCAGTGCCATTGTCCATGCGAATGACAGACGGCGGGCCCCACCGGCAGCAGATCTTGGTCAGTGCGGCTGCTACGCTCGCTGCATCTTGTCGACGTAGTGGCTGTACCTCCGCCCACTTGGTGAACATGTCGACGCATACCAGGCAGCAGTGGTGCGCTCCACTCTGGCCAAGCTCCAACGTGTCGATCTGTATGACCTCCCATGGTCGTCCTGGTACGTCTGGAGCGTTGGCTCAACAGTCGGTCCCCGTGCCGGGTTAGCTGCAGAGCAAAGCACACACGCTTGGAGAACACTCTGGCATTTCTCGGCCATCAGCGGCATATAGCAGCGCTTGCGCAGTGAGTCATGCATTGTCGTCCAGGTGGCATGGCCAGAGGTCTTGTGAGATGCTTTCAGTACTTGGTCTTCAAGGTCAGGCGGTATGACTGGCACTTGCACGACGCCGTCGAGTGGCAGCTTTACTGAACGCATCAGCACACCGTCATGGTCCAACAGCTGATCACGGACCGGTCTGTACAGCTTCGACGACAGGGGGGTTCCCGACTTCAGCTCATCCAGCAGCTGTGATATCTCGGTATCGGCTTGCTGCGCATCCTTTATCTCACTGAGAGTAACGGGCCCGATAGCATGCTTGTACGTTGCCACAGAAACAGAACAAACATCACTCGGCTCGGCTGTACCCTTGGGCCACCGCCTCGGGACACGGGTGAGCTCATCGGCCGGGTTCTGGTCAGTCGGCACCCACTCCACTCAGACCTTGAGGCCGACCGTTTGGACGAGGCCAGCAATCACTTCCAGTCGCCGCTCAACCAGTATCTTGTGCAGCCCACCAACTTTCACTCGGCGCACATTGTCGAGGACCTGCTTCAGCCAGCCGTACACTGTCTTTGAGTCGGTGACGAGTCGTACAGTCTGCAGGTGCCATTGCGCTGCAAGCGACAGTCCACGCACCGCAGCATCTAGCTCCGCCATATTGATGTGCTTCTTATCGGCTGTGTCCCGCAGCCATGTACCGTCTTCGATGACTTGGCCGTTCAGCTGGAGGACCACACCGACTGCCAGATCCGAGGCATCGCAGGACACAGCCCAATCTCCATCGGACTCGGCTGATGCATGCCACACACCACGGACGGGGTCTTGAGCGGACAGCTGCTCAGCAACTTCGTCAGCACACTGAAGAACGCTAGGTGGAACCGGCGTGTCCCATCTGTCCACTGCACTTGATAGCCGCTTCAACATTGAGCAGCTGGGCGAAGCCATGCGCACACTGGATAGTGGCTTGTGAGCCGACCTGTCATTGGAATACACCACGCTTCGTAAGCGGTTGGCGGAAGCTGAGGTCGACTCCATCGCGGCGAGCCCACATGATGGTACCATCAGCAGTCGTCGACCAGCTTCAGGCCAAGCACTCGCGCCTCGGGTAGATGCTCTGGTGGCTTTGTCGGCAAGCCATACCGTGCTAGCTCTGCAGCGACGGCCTTGCGCTTCTGCGCTGGCGTGAGGACGTCATCACATAGTTGTCCACATCAGGCCATCGTCGCCCTCCACCTCACCAATGATGTCCATGAATTTTGGTGCAATCGATAGACCAAAACCCATCCGTGACATGGCGTACAGCTTCCCACGCCACACCACGACTTGGTAGCGCAAGAGGGATGGGTCGACTCGTACCTGCCAAGTACGCCTTACGTATGTCGACAAGTTCAAACTGGCTGTCTGCAACCTGTCGCCACTGCGGATCTTCTCACCGCATGCTGGGGCATCAGTGCCTGGGTTCGACTTAATCACCGCATTCAAGCCACGGTAATCGAGACAAGGACGAACTGGGGTCGACTCCTTGCGGGCTTGGTCCTTGGCGAGCAGCGGAATGATGGGCCCGGAGGACCGTGCGTAGCCTCGTCGTACTTGATCAGGTAGCCATTCTCGACCCAGGCGTCCATCTCGTCACAGAACTGCGACTCCTGGCTTGTCTGACAGGTTGTGCCTCGCGTACTGTCCGATCCCTGAGCCGATCGGAGATGTAGGAGCTTGCCATCACGCCACTGCCAGTGCAACGTCCAATGCTGCTTGTCGTTGTCCCACCGGAGCTCTCCGTCTTCGGCCTTCAGGGTCACACCACGATCGTCCTCTGTGACGTCCACATGACGGAGTGTGCTCTCAACGTCAGCTGCAGCAGTAGCGGCTGCACCGGTCATCTCTAGTTGAGACCAAAGCACACGCCATTGACCTCGCCGTCCTGGCCATAACTGACTCGAACGCCACCAACACCAGCTATAACGTCAGCACCGAGGAGGAGGTCTGCTGCCACAGCCGTCAATGAGTCGACAACGCAGGCATTCACACGCACTCTTGGCAGACTAACCGGTTCACCCTTCCCCTTGGCGCTGCTGTTCCACATCACACTTGCTCCTCTGATCTTCACCTTGGCTATCCACGGATACAACAGACACACGTGGCTGAGCAGTGAACGGAATCTTGTGAAGTTTGAGGAACTCGACCGTAACCATTGTGTAACTTGCACAAGTGTCCTGCTGCCTGCTCTAGCACGTGCCCATTCGCTGCCTACCACGCCTCGCACGTCAACGTAGATTCTGGGCAGTGAAGCTCTAGTAGCCTCGGCTACAGTGCACAAACACGCACCCCTCGCCAGGGAGCCACTGTCTGCAGCCGGTTGCTGCTCCAGACGATTTCCGCTCTTGCCAGCTTTACGCTCCAGACAGTTACTCTTCATGTGACCTGGCTTGTCACAGAAGTAACAGGTTCGAGGGACAGTACGCTCACCGCGCGTTCCTTTACCAGCACCACTCTTGCGACCAGATTTCTTCGCTT